AAAATATTCATCAAACATTTTTTTTAATCTGTGTATATTTCTGAGATGAGAAATTGTTTACGTTGTTCCGTCTGTTGTCCTCAAAGACACATAGACCAGTGGATAAAATCGTTGGTTGGATCGAGTGACTCGACCCAAAGACTACATTGATTTAAAACGCAGGGTGAGTGAATTTTATGTTGTTACTAGCAGCATGACCCGGCGTTGCCCTTGCTTGATTAAAAAATCATACGACTCATACAGCAATCTCTATCACTTGACTTAAAATATTTTTGCCCTTCCTTGCCTTTAAAGGAGTGCCCTTTTCCGTGCTGATGTTGCTACATGCCTTACTTCTTGCCTATCTCACACTGCGAATTTTTTCTAAGCTCTATACTAAACATTAAATCTGTTACGAAAAAAGAACTAAACAAAATGAACACAAAACGATCAGCTTTAAAAAGGGACTGGAAAACCCGAATGAAAAAATAATGTTAACAACAAATACTTTTTCACACCCAACCCAGTTCTGCGGAATCAGAATCAATGTTGAGTTTAAGCAAGCGAATGAGCCAATTGGAGTAAAGTGCCATGCAGATTTCAATTTTTCCCACTTGTGACGAATGCAGCTATCGATTTTTTTTTTTTTTTTGCATGCTAGCATGCTAGTTAACATTCGTGACAACTGTTAGCTCTCACGCTGGCCAATAGAATCTTCCTTCCTATTCGTGGCAGCCAGCTATAGGTTCTCACTTTGGCCAGTAGAAAATGGCCGCAAACTGGCGTAGAAGCATGAAAAATCGATTATTTCCACTATCGATGGGAGTTGGGAAATGCAAAGTCGGTTTTGTCCTTCCCGCTAACTTGGAGCATGTGCATGTAAATTTTGTTGCAAATCCGTCGAAAATTGCGGCCGTGCATTCGTTACACAGACACACACACACACATCCTGCCTTTTATAGATAGAGATTAAATGCAAACAAACAAATCTAGTGTGAGCTATCTATCTATCTATCCTTGCATGTATTTATACCATATAGAAATGTCTCATTGAACTAAAAAATATTTTTATGTTATTTTTGATAAATTGTAATAGATTTGAATCTTTTTTTCTTCCAGGTCTTCACTCGATTTTCTTTCCCAGAAAAAGAAAAGCAAAGATCTGACGAAGGAAACATCCTCGAGTGGCTGTCAATTTCTCTGAAAAAAAATGCGTCATGTATTAAAAAAAAAACAAACGAAAGCATGCTGCAAAACATCAAATAAATTAAAATAAAATTTCTTATAAAAATTATTCAGAAAATGAAAAACAAAAAAAAATTGAACATTTCTAGATTTTGTAAAATAATTATTCTCAAAATTCTATATTATTTCCCACATAAAATGTGACACTCTCACATACACGCACAGTACAGACGCACACACACACACAAAAAATTCCCGCCCACAATACATCGATATATATATATATATATATATATATATATATTTGCACACACACATGTATATATGTATATATATACATGCATATATACATATATATATGTGTATGTGTGTATATATGCCTGTCTTTGTGTACGTGTATAATTACTATGAACAAATTATTTTTATATATTATATGTTCTAAAAGATGGATGTCAGAAACAATTTGAAAAGTTGAAATTACAGTATAACTATTAGAAGACCACACAGATAGATAGATAGATAGATAGATAGATAGATAGATAGATAGATAGATGAAATGTATGATGATGGATAGACATGGTTCTTTGATATTTGTCGAAAGTTTTTAAAAAATCACCATATTAGATCATCTAAAATCATCAAACAAATTTTCTTTCGCCGAAATCCTAATTTGTTTATAACGTTGATTTCGCTGAAATGAGTCCCCTGTTTGAAATATTAAAAAAAGATTAAAAATAATAGAAATATTAATAACAAAAAAGAAAAAGCCAACTCTCAATAACATTAACTAGAGTTCCATGAAAATAAGAGGATACAACGTTTAAAAACACATTATCCAGCCGGGCTTAACCATAAATATAACACTGTAGATAGTATTAATATATAATCCCACAAATCAGCACCTACCCACATTTCTCACCCACACAAGATATACATTGCTTACGGAGGTGTTGAGGCATCACACTTATACACACACCCACACGAATATACACACTTACACACACCATACTCACTCACTCCCTAATGATCCAAATGATAACACACACTCATAGTAACATACACGCTTACACACATCATACTCACTCACTTCCTAAGAACCAAATAACACACACACACTTAACAGAGACGCATCCACTTTCCATGAACCAATAAAACTGTCAAACTGACCAAGGGAATTCCAAGCAGCATGAATCCATCCAGCGCTTATCTCAAATAACAACTTAAAAGAGACTGTTTGACCAACACAAGGACTGACCAAAATTCATGTTAAAAAGATAAAAAAATAAATGAAAACTACAGACAAAAGTTCATTTTCTCCATCAAGACATTCATTTACTACCAGTAAGCAGAAAATTATTTTTCTCCTGATGATGGCCATGTTGGCCGAAACTAGTCGAGGAATCTAAATGAAATAATAATAAAAACGAAAGAATATTAATATACAACCCAGTGTGTCTGAAGATTTTATTTTTTTAATTTTTTAATATTTTTTATTGTTCAAAATATATATGCGTTTCAAATTATTAACGAGGTGACACTTTTGCTTCATATGCAAGATCTACTAGTTAAAATTTAACAAAATTATCGGAGAATAATGACAATATGTATATACACCTACTCTATCAAAATTGTAAGGTTCTAGCAAAAGAAACAGAAGTTACGGTCATTTATCTAATTTACTTAAATTATCAGTGTATCAAATTATTAGCGAGGTGTAATTAAAAAAAAACTGTAAAAAAAAGAAAATAACACTTTAATTGCTTCATTTACAGATTTTTATGGATACATAGAGTAACTAAAATGAAATTAAATCGAAATAAAAAGTAAACAGATTTCAAAAAGGATAGCAGATTTGGTTAACATTAGATGGATGATCTTTTTTTTTTTAAGGAGCTTTGGTCAGGCTTGGGCTATTTAAAGCTTCACGTTTCATTCGTGACAAAGAACGTCGGGAAACAACCCTAGAGTGACCCTTATCGGCCTTCTTACGTACCTTCGTAGGAACTGCAACAAATCTTTTCACAGTTTGCTGATATCTTCAAATTATTTTCCATATTTCTCATGTAATAATATTAACAATAAATAATTCTAATATAATATATAATATTATATTATTAATATATAATATTAATAATTAATAATTCTAATATTTCTTTGGAAAGTTCAGATGTTATATCTTTCTCAAAAGTGGTCAAGTCAAATTTGCGACCCTCGTTTTTAGTCTGGAACACTTCTATATCATGTTAATATTGCAAATGTCCACCGTTTGTTTCCTGTTGCGCAGAACAATGCAGTTTTTATATATCCTGCGCATATTCATATTCTCATGATACTATGAAAATTCCATTAAATTCGACTGGTAGTTTTTGGACAAAATGAAGAAATGTCACCTCGTTAATAATTTGAAACGCAGTGCGTTTGAGTATATATATATATATATATATATATATATATATATATATATATATGTCCGACTGTTTTGAATCAATCAACCAAAGTTTTTATTTACTGGGCCATGTATCCTTGGGGAAAAAGGCGTTGACTAAATGATCCAAAATGTGTCTTGACGGAAAGACTTCTGAGTTCAATCGCTATCCTCAGCTGATAGAATAAAACTTGGAGAGTTTACTTATCAAGAGGAATTAACTAAAACTGCGATGTTCAAGAAAGTGAGACTTTGGTGTTGAGCGCGGATTTGAAACATGCAGAAGAGCACATGTACGCAGGCTGTTAGACGAAATAGATGCTGATTCTAATGAACAGATCATCTCCCCCACCCCCTCTCTCTCTCTCTCTATATATATATATATCACTGTTTATATCATTTAGCTAGCTAGCTATCTGTCTGTCCTTTCCTATCTATCTATATATCTATCAAAGCCTCTTAATATCTATTTAGCTATCTATTTCTCTTAGTCTTTTCATATCTATCTATCTAGCTAGCTAGCTAGCTCTCAAAGCCTTTTAACATCTATTTATCTATCATATACTTGCTTCACCATATTTAGCTACCTATTACCTCCCTCCAATTTTGTCATTATCTATGTCCATTTTCTTTATCTATCTATCATTTATATATTATATATATATATATATATATATATATATATATATATATATATATATATATATATATATATATAAGTGAACATAGAAATCAACAGTTAGAGGCGACAGTCTATTTCATGCTAGACGCTATGGTCAGACCATGAGACGCAATCGAACAACACTCATGGCCTGACGATTGCGTGCTAAGTGTTGACTTCTATGTTCACTTTTATATTTACACACGCTCTATCTCTGATATTGAGCACTTTATCCCATAAATATACCACATCTTAAGACTATATTTCTTCATATATATATATATATATATATATATATATATATATACTCGCTTCATCATATTTATCTACTTATCTATCCCCCATCAATGTTGTTAATAACTATCTGTTGATCTATCCCTAATTTTGTTAATATCTATCTATCTATCTATCTAAGTCTGTTCATATCGATCATAATTTTCATACTTCTATTCTAACTCATAGCTAGTGGGAAGAAGAGGTGAATTCATTCCATTTCCCAAGAGTATTTCCACTTACGTGGAATTAACGAACCCGACTGGATCTAGAACTCAGCTACCTAATTTCTAATTACGAGCTGTTATCCATACACCCTACCCCGAACATGAAAGCTTGCGGAGCCTGGCATTCGCAAGTGCCCCCACCATCAAGGTGACTAGGCCCGATATTGCCTAGCTTCAGTGATCATACGAGAACTGATGTTTCAGCGTGAAATGACCGAAAGATCCGTATACCACCCGGATATCCAAGCTCCCAACATCTGATATTACTAGGCGGTCACCCATCTAGGTACTGATCAGGCTAGACGTTGCTTAACTTCGGTGATTGTACAAGAACCGGTGTTTCAGTACCTCAGTATTTCAGCATGAAATGATCTATCGTAAAAGAACGGGATTAATTAATAAATACTAAACACTTCAATCCTTAATATCAGGTGACCGGAAGTCGTATCCATTGACCAATTGTGGGACAGGACTAGACAAGCCCCAAACGAGATTGACAACAAGAAACCGATTCTAAAATTACTGATTGAATCTACGGACTGTCAAGGATTACACAGACCTTCTAAAGTTTACATAAAAATATTGTGCTTTTCGAACTTTTTCAGTCAACATAATTTTCGTTGTAAATATGTAACATTTATTAGGATAATATACAGATATCTTTCCTTAGGTGCTTATAAATTGTACACTGTTCAATTAATAACGTTAACCTACGAAGTATTTTAAATTAAAAAATTCTATTTGGATTAAACGAAAATTACTTACAATATAATACACTAGCAGCATGGCCTGGCGTTGCCCTTGCTTGATTCAAGAATCATACGACTCATACAGCAATCGCTATCACTTGACTTAAAATATTTTTGCCCTTCCTTGCCTTTAACAAAGTGCTCTTTGTCGTGCTGATATTGTTACATGCCTTACTTCTTGCCTATCTCACACTGATGTGAAGTTTTTCTAAGCTCTATACTAAACATTAAATCTGTTACGAAAAAAGAACTAAACAAAATGAACACAAAACGATCAGCTTTAAAAAAAAGAACTCGTAACTGGAAAAACTGAATGAAAAAAGAATGTTAACAACAAATACTTTTTCACACCCAACCCACTTCTGCGGAATCACAATCAACGTTGAGTTTAAGCAAGCGAATCAGCCAATTGGTGTAAAGTGTCATGCAGATTTAAACTTTTCCCACTTATGACGAATGCAGCTATCGATTTTTTTGCGTGCTAGCATGCTAGTTAATATTCGTGTCAGTCAGCTGTTGGCTCTCACACTGGCCAATAGAATCTTCCTGCCTATTCGTGGCAGCCAGCTATTGGCTGACACTCTGGCCAGTAGAAAATGGCCGCAAACTACATGATAACTGGCGTAGAAGCATGAAAAAATCGATTATTTCCACTATCGATGGGAGTTGGGAGTTGGGAAATGCAAAGTCGGTCTTGTCCTTCCCGCTAACTTGGAGCATGTGCATGTAAATTTTGTTGCAAATCCGTCGAAAATTGCGGCCGTGCATTCGTTACACACACACACACACACACACACATAATACATTCTTTCTTACCGTCACGGGTAAACTTGTATATATATATATAGGGGTGATAGAAAGTAGCCACGCAAAGAAACAGATACACAACTGTAAAGAAGGAAAATTGTAAGAAACAAAGAGAGACCGAGAGAGAGAGGGAGGGAGAGAGAGGGGGGAGGGAGAGAGAGAGATGAGGGAAATGAAAGGGATAGAGAGAGGAGAGAAATGTATGTCAGACAAAACTTGGCCGAAGATTATTATATTTTATTTCAGCTTAAATTGAACTTTACAAAAAGGTGTCCTGGATTATGCGATCGACTATTACTAACGATGATATTCTAATTTCTCAGCAAATTTGACTCTCAAGTACACCCAAGGTGTTTCACAAAAGCGCGCGTAAAAAAGCTATGCGTGCGCGCACACAATGAGGATAAAATACGAATATATTTCCCTGAGGTGTTTATAAATTATACACTGTTTAGTTATTAACGTTAACAACGAACTATTTTCAGTTACAAAACTGTACATGGATTAAACGAAAATTACTTACAATATAATACATTTTACTTATAATACATTCCTTCTTGCTGTCAATTTTGACGCCACAGGTACACTAGTATCGTAAATAATACTGCAAATCTCTTCTTATAAACTAGAAATAACCGTGATACACAATCTTTCCCCGTCAGAATCTATCTTCCATACTTCTAAGTCTATCATTTGTCCTTGTTTTGAATATTGCTGCCCTATCTGGATTAATGCGCCTGATAGAGATTCTTGATAGGAAAATCAGCAATGCTATTAGCCCTGACCTGGCATCTCAGCTTCAATCCCTTTCCCACCTCTGTAACGTAGATTTCCTGTGTCTTTTCTATAAATACTTTCATGGTGATTGTTCTGGTGAACTTTCCTCTCTGAATTGTTATTTCTGTCACCCCACCACTCACCAAGCCGCGAAACAAATTGTACATATGGGAACGAGTTTGGACTTCGTATTATGGTGGCTGTAGAAAGAATGGTAAGTAAGAATGTGTTCTTTTGGTTTAAGGAATACTGTTGTATGTTTGGGTCAGTAATTGTAGCTAGATAAGTTTAAGATGACATGGAATGAAATCTAGGCTTCATCTCCTCTCCTTCTTGTCCTTGTGCCACACTTTTGTATTATCAAAATAAACATTACTTTCCTCTCTGCTACGTGTTCACACACAAAAAGCACCTGCGCTGACAAACTACAAAGCAACCGTCTTGTTTCCCTCTCTCTGCGAACTACGATCAAAGCGAGAGGAGTGATAGAACGTAGCCACGAAAAGAAACACCTAGATTTTTAAAAAATAAGCGCAGTACTAGATTGGCGGTAAGGTACCATCATTTTACAGTTGAAATAGCTAGATGTAACTGTAAGTTCTATATTAACAGTTTCTTGAAAAATTTATTTAAATAAAATTCAGCGAACATCTGATTAAACTGATTTTTTTATTCATTTAGATAATTTCGTTAATTTCTTTCGGTTCTTAATTTGGTTTATTTTGTTTTACGGCATATCAACACCTCAATGGGTTATTTAATACCGACAAGATTTTTTATTGCTGGTCATATTTTCTATCTATCTATCTCAGTATATATTGGTTTGGTTTGGTTTGTTTTACGGCATATCAACCTCAATGGGTCATTTAATGCCGACAACTTTTTTTTCCTGGTAATATTTTTGTTTTGTAAAAAATCTATTTCTGTTAATATTTTTTCTTCAAAAATGTATAGCTGGTAATATTACTTTTTCAAAAATGTATAGCTGGTAATATTATTTTCCCCAAAACGTATAGCTGGTAATATTATTTTTCAAAAAACGTATAGCTGGTAATAATATTTTTTTAAAAACGGTATACCTGGTAATATTATTTTCCCCAAGACGTATGGCTGGCAATATTATTTTTTTCAGAAACGTATAGCTGGTAATATTATTTTTTTCAAAAAGATATAGCTGGTAATATTATTTTTTCAAAAATGTATACCTGGTAATGTTTTTTCAAAAACGTATTGCTGGTAATAGTTTTTTTTCAAAAATGTATTGCTGGTAATATTTTTTTTCTTCAAAAATTTATTTCTGGTAATAATTTTTACAAAGTATTCCTGGTATTAAAACCTATTTTTATACTTTTATAATGTTTTTATTTCAGTTTCGAGGTTAACTATTTGCCCATAGCTGGGACCCTGACAGGTGCTACCACCCCGGATCAGGGTGGACCTGCGAACACCAACAATTAAAAGGAGGTTTCACGCTCCTCAAAGCCTCCTAATTAGAGGCCTTGCTGTTGGATGTAGTTTATCGTCTTACCCTGGACGCGGATGTAGTTCATCGTCATACCCTGGACGCGGATGTAGTTCATCGTCATACCCTGGACGCGGATGTAGTTCATCGTCATACCCATACTCAAAATGTTTCGCATACTAAACGTCTCTCATGTTGGATAGTAGGCGGCAGGAAGTTACAGCAAAATTCTTCAATTCTGAGATGAATATTTTCTTTATTGAAAAAAAAAGCAACAACAAGAGTATGAAAACGACGTTTCAGAAGAAAAGAAGTCCGTGTGTGTGTGTGTGTGTGTGTGTGTGTGTGTGTGTGTGTGTGTGTGTGTGTTCGTTCATTATGGTTACGTGAAAGCAATAAAAAAGAAACTTCCCAAGGTAGGCGTATAAAAGAAAGAAAGAAAGATTAACAGAAGGCAAACTGCTGAGCAAAAAGAAAGAAAGAAGACCGAAAGATAAATTAGCGAGCAGAAAGAAAGAAAGAAAGAAAGAAAGAAAGAAGAAAGCGAAGAGCATGCAGCAAAGAAATGAAGAAAAATGAGAGGTAAAAGAGGAAAAAGAAATGATGAAGAAGAAGAAGCATCGGAATTGAAAGAGTTGAAAAGGTCAAAAGGTCAAGCAAACAAACATTGCAAAAAGAAAAAGGAAAATAATGAAAGAGAATAGAAAAAATAAAGCTTTGTCGGTAAGTTCAGAAGAAAGCGAATTAAAATGAAAGAAAGAAGACGTTATAAAAAAAGAAAATAATTTAATTTAAATAATAAAAAGGCAGTATTCATTGAAAAATCAAAGAAATTGAATCAAAAAAGAAAAGAAAAGGATTTCTGTAATATGAAAAATAAAAGACAATGGGAATTTAAAATGACAAAAAGAAAGAAAGAAAGAAGAATAAACACAGAAAGATAAATTGGTAACAAGAAAGAAAGAAGGAACAACGGAAGATAAATTGGGAACAAGAAGAAAGAAAGAAAGAAAGAAAGAAAGAAAGAAAGAAAGAAAGAAAGAAAGAAAAAATAATGAACACCGAAAGATAAATTATGTAACAAGAAGAAAGAAAGAAAGAAAGAAAGAAGAAAGAAAGATAAATTAGGGAGGATGAAGAAAGAAAGAAAGAAAGAAAGAAAGAAGTGTATCACGCATGGCTCATAACTGACTGAAATCCACTTACGTACTAATACCCTTGGGAAAGGTATGAATCTTCTTCTTCTCCCCCTCCCTCAGCTATGGGTAACTAGCAAGACAGACCGGGTTCTATAGCCTTGGATGGCAACTGGTCTACCACAGAAAGAAACGTCAACCTACTGTGGGAAAAGATCTGCCTCGTCAGTCATGTATCGAAAGATACATGATCGCCTAAGTGTGTATCACGCATGGCAGATAACTGACTGAAATTCACTTACGTGTTAATACCCTTGGGAAAGGTATGAATCCTCTTCTTCTCCTCATCAACTAAATAGCAGGACAAACCATGTTCTATAGCCTTGGATGGCAACTGCGGGGAAAAATTCTGCTACGG